TGGATCAGCCAAATATTTAAAGGGCTGACACAGGGGCAGGGTTAAATCACGACATAGATGGATGTCTCACTCGTAGGTTAGTTCACACATATGGCATCTCTTATTGCCATCCCACACCCATTTCAGTGTAGAACACACAAAAGCACTTAAAACATACAAAAAAACATAATAGAAAATACGTGTAAATTAAAAGGTATTAAGTTATCGCTACTATCTGTGTCTGTAATTGGCAGCAGTACCCAGTTTTTCTTGTGAAACCAGTTTTCACAGGAATGCTGTTGATACAGAGCATGGTTTTCATAAGGAAGGTTTATCCGAGATAGCAAGGTCCAGTGCGGCTGCTCAGAGTAGGCGATTGGAAATTTAAGACCATTTATGATTGCTGGAATAGTAAATATATCAGCCACACTATTAACATCTTGATTCTTCTCCTGGTCCACTCTCAGCGCTATTTTTCCGCTGCTGTCTCGGGGAAATAGCTTTCAGTTTACGTACAGTTGGTGTCGCTTATAAAGATCAAACAAGAAATGCTGTGGAATAAATAGTGAACTTTGGACTTTATTGTGTGTGTACCTTTTCCTGAGGATGTCTACCGTGCCCGGCTGAGAGCACTTTGTGTTGGTCAGCTGCTGTGGAGGTCTGCCCTCACTGCAGGTCTCAGTGTCTACACGTCCATACAGAGCTGCCTGCACACTGATCACTCCACTGGCTGTTACACACATGAAATGAAGAAGAGTCACATTATTTATTATAGCAGAATTATTAAAGTGGATATTAGAAACTATGAACTATTTCTAAACTTGTTTTTGTCATAAATTAAAGATTATTTTCGTCACATTAGAAGAGCAACTCATATAGACCTTAAAATAAATGTCCATGTGACACATTCAAACTGCTTTATTTAGTTCTTTCAACTTAAATGTGCCGTTGGTCGTCAACGGAAAGCTTTAGTATTGATTTAATTTAAAGTTACATGGACAGTGCACATTCATAGACAAATGCAGTCCCTGAGCAGATGTAATGACGGCAACTACAAAGACACATAAACTACATTTAACAGTAACAGCAATACTGTACATATAGCAGAGCATACCACAGCTTAGACGTTGAACACTGAAGCCGTCGTCACAGTTGATAATTCTCTCTGTGGAAACATCTAAAAAACAGACATGAAATTACGAGTTGAAGGCAAATACATAAAGAAAATATATGTAATATGTAATTATTAATATTATGTAATATTTACCTGCTGTCATGAGCAAATACGTTGCTGCCAGCACTGAACAAGAGACATCAAGGTCAAATATTACCTTGCTTACAGGCTCAGCTGTAATAGTTAGTGTGCTAACATTAGCATTTAGCTCAAAGCATCACTGTGCTTACAGCCTCACAGAGCAGCTATACACTATTAATACTTATATATGTTTGTTGACATACACTGGACTTCCCATTAGTACATCTCATACTGTGCATAACAATGAGTCCATCCTGCACCCTAAAACTCCAATCACATATAATAAAAATATTCTTAGACAAGAAAGCCGAAATCTTATCTAAGAAATATTCTTTTTAAGAATTTATATAAACCAAGTCAGTCAGTAGTGTACTCACGCAGTGTGCTGCTGCTGAGCCTGATGCAGAGCATGATGTTGGTAGCAGGTAAGTAGCAGGTGAGACTGACGGTAGTTGGAAAGACACACCTGTATTTATACAAGAGCTGTATTTGTTTTAATGAAATCAAACACATTTACACATGTCTGACTTACTGGGTGTAGCAGACTGTGATAGAGATAATGACTTACTACAGTCAAAGATTAAATGATCATTATCATGAAGGGTATTTACAAAGTGCATTACTCACTGCGGACCTCTCCCTCTGTTCAGGCATATATTTTCAGCCCAACATGAATAAAATGATTCATGGTTTCTTTTAATCACGAGTTTCCTTAAAGGAGAGTATTTAGACTGCAGTTACTCCCACTTCATCAGGCCGTGTGCTTATGGTATGACTATGTATCCCTCCATCGTATATGTCTGTATACTGTACGACGTACAGTTGCTCTGACAGCGTTTGGAAAATGCACAGATGTGATTGTTATTCATGAGTCTACAGCCACACGAGCAGCTCTGTGACGTGCTTTTGATCTAACTTGATGCGTTACATAAACATTTATTAGTTTTGGGTTATAATTTTATACAAAATCACATTTGAACATTCTTGAGTTAATTTTAAGATCAAAAAGATTGTTGATGATTGTTGATGATAATTTTAAGTGACACCAACTTAGTTTTGTAAGTTACAGAAACATTTCTGGTTAAGTACTTTTTACTGGGTATTAGACTATTGAACACACATGTAAACAAGGCCGCTTTAAAATACTTAGTTGGCTTTGAGGAAGTAAACACACTCGACACATTTGTTAGACTTGAGGGATGTTGGTGACTAACACTGAATGTAAACATAACTTTTGTTTGCCTACAGGAAAACTGCAGGAAATCTTTATTTTTCTTATGTGGACTTCCGTGAACAATACTGAATCTGTAAACTCTGACCTGATTTGAGTAGCTCTGCTGGTTCATATAATTCATAATGAAGGCACTTGAAAGACAGTGTTGTCTTTCAATATCTTTTGTCTTGTTGTCTGTGAGTGTTAAAGGACAAACACGCTCTTTTGAATGATTCTAGTAACAAGTGGTGAATTGTATTCTACTTAATTATCTGTGAAAATGTTCAAATGATGCATGAGAAGCAATAAGGCTCAAGTGAAGAAAGTGAAATTAACAGTGACTGAAATTACTGTAAACAGTCTGTGTAAATAATACATTATTTAAACAAAACCATCTGCCAGTAAGGACACAGTAAAGACACTCCTCGTTTAAAACCTGATCTTTATTAAACAAACTGTCCAGAGATTCAGCAGCAACAGACTCAACATCACAGTCAGAAACAAACAGGTAAGAAACAGAGAGGGATGATGGGGAGAAAATAAACTCACCAAATGTCAAAAAAGGAAAAGAAAACCACCTGTTTTCCACATTAAACTAAAAAGATACCTCTGTACACCTTCTGAATTTGACCGTGACCTTGTTAAGCAATCTTAAAACACAATCCATTCAAACTGGGCAGAAAGAAAATAAAACTCTCTGTCTTTATTAGTCTTTACACTGTTCCACCAACTCCGGTGTCCAACCACCTAACAGAGTTGGATGTGAAAATATTCTGACTCGATCTGTCGCTGCCTCTCTGATGCCCCTAACCTCCCTCGCTCATCTACCCACTGCATGCCTCTCCTCTCCTGGCCCTGCTGTGGTGTTATCTTCCCCCGGAGTTAGAGTCTTGTTTGGAGCCACTGCGAATGACCATATAACTTAATTGTAAATAAACCATTAATTGAAATCAATCTATTGATTACGTCTTATTTAAATTGTCTGACCTGGTAAATAAAGGTTAAATGTCCCCTTAAAACCCTCCTCTCAATGCCAAATCAGTAGCAGGAAGTTGTAACTTAAACCAAAAAATTGGTTTTACAGCCTAAGACTTGAAACATTGGTAAGAGTTGGTTTAGTATATTTCATATCTCTCTCTCTCTCTCTCTCTCTCTCTCTCTCTCACTCTTTCTACTGATGTCACTTATTTCTGTGTCTGGCAGACCAAGCACAATACAAGCTTTACATTAAGTGCCACGAATGAGGAAGTCTTACAAACCACAAGAACCGGATCAACAAAAGGATCATTCAGCCATAAAAGATTGCCAAACTGCGGTAGCTGTGAAACTCACAAAAAACGTGTCTATCTAGAGACAGTGTTTGGTTTGACTCGTACTGTAGAAAGCATGGCAGCTTCTGTGGGAAAGAGGAACCCACTCCCTCTTTTTTATTACTTGTTACTACTTTATTTAGCTTCTATTTCCGCCCATGGATGCCACGTTCAAGCAAACATGGCTCTTCACAGAGCACGAGTGAATGTTAATCGTGTTGCTTGGGCCAGTCACTTTGCCAAAAGACTTGTTGTAGCATGTTTTTTCTACACTGAAATCAGGTTCAATGACCTTGACTGTCATGGTTGACTTTCTGTGTCAATTTCCTGAACAAACAATGTTTGTTTTTTTAACTATATAAGCAACATGGTGAGGTGCTGTAACTGGTTTGTGTCAATTAGTGCAACCAGCATTTCATAAAAGTATGATAACATACAACAAAATTAATGTGCCATCAATTGTAATTGTGTATTGCAGTATAATAACATTAAAAATAAATTTTCCATAATGTGGCAGAACGGATACTGGATTTAAATTTGAGAAAATGCTATATTTCTGCAGAGTTGTGAAACATTTTGCTCCCAAGACTAAAGTGTTGAATTTTGTTAGAAAATATGAAACAATGAGTACGCAGTTTATTAAGTTCACCTAGCTAATACAACATTACTACAATACACTCTACTTTCATAAAAGTAAAGTTCAGTTTTTCACAGTAAGACAGTGTTTCAATATCTATAACAATAACAGTGTTTTTAACACTGACAGCTGATTGTGACCGTCTCCTGCCTGTTTTCCTCTTGCTGTTGTCTGTCATCTGTCATCATTCTCATTATTCAGTTTATACATACGTGATTCCTCCTTTTCTTAGTCCTTCCCACCAGAGAGGCGAGTGGAGGAGGCGAGGATGTACAAACTGGCAAATAAGAAAGGCCTAATAATGTATGTAATATATTCATTTTTTTATGACCATTAAAGCTGCTGTTTCACTATGACGCTCAGTTTATGAGACTAGTATATATAAAAAATATTAGTTTTTCATTGTGGTGTACTTTCAGGGGAAATATTACTCCAAAATCCCTTTAAAAATATGACACACTAACATTTGCTGACGTGTCTGTAAGACAGAACTCTAGAAGCCCAAGGTATTGGTATTGGTATTTTAAATGTCTGTTATAGTTATTAAGATGTGAATATTTTACTGTAATTGTTTTTGTTTTGTTTAGGTAGATGTTGATGGGAGTCACATATACGCATCAAAATCTCAAAAACGACATGCTATCAGACTG